GGATTCTGAGGACAGGCAGAGTTTATGGCATCCTGGGGATGCAACTGGCCCATCTTCACCATTTAGGCCACTTCCTTCCCATCAGGAGGGGAGAACTAGTCAGACGATGACGGGAAATTTTGGTAAACAAGCGGCCATCTAGCTCAGAAGCAACAAAGCCCATATGGAAGAAGCACACTAGCCTGAGCATGAGCTATCAAAGGGATCAAGGGATCAGGAATCAAAGACCAAAAAATCATGAATGAGAGGGAGTGCAGCCAGTCAGGGTGCAGTGTAGCAACAATGAAACATACAACTTTCCTCTAGTTCTTAAATGCTGCCCCCCCCCTGCCTCCCCCCACCCTCCTCCACTATCATGATCCCAGTTCTACCTTACAAATCCAGCTAGATCAGAGGATGTACACTGGTACAGATAGGAACTGGAAACACAGGGAATCCAGGGCGGATGATCCCTTCAGGACTGGTGCTGACTGAGAGTGGCGATACCAGGAGGAGGGTGGTGATACCAGGAGGGGGGTGGAGGGAAGGTGGGGTAGTAGAAAGGGGGAACTGATTACAAGGATCTACATATAACCTCCTCCCTGGGGGACTGACAACAGAAGAGTGGGTGAGGGGTGATGTTGGACGGTGTAAGACATGACAAAATAATAATAATTTATAAATTATCAAGGGTTCATGAGGGAAGGGGTGGCGGGGACGGAGGGGAAAATATGAGGAGCTGATGCAAGGTGCTCAAGTAGAAAATAAATGTTTTAAGAATGATGATGGTAACAAATGTACAAATGTGCTTGACACAATGGATGTTTTGTATGGATTGTGATAAGAGGTGTACGAGCCCCCAATAAAATGAATTTTAAAAAGTAAAATGAAACAATAACAGTTCAAAGAAAACACATATGGAGATTTAGCTGACCCAAGGATTAAAACCTAGATATAGTGACCATGTATACAAGCCAACAGGAGAAAACAAAAAGGAAAGATCAATGATACATAGCTTAAAAACTGTGGAACGTCTAGACTGTAGAACATCTGGAAAACTGGACGAATATTTTACAAATTATTCCCAAACCATAAATACCTCATCAGGGGGAAAAAATGCCCCCCAAACCCTGATAGTTTTCGAAAATACAAATAAACTGTCAAAAACAGGTAAAAGGTTCAATCTCGCTGGTAATCAAATGCAATCAAGTTAAAATTGTTTGATACATGGGAAAAAGAATCCAGCTCAATACTCAACACTAACACTCAAAATGAGACCCAAAACTCTATTCAGAGGCCACACTGGTCCGATCCTGTTGAAAAGTAATTTGGCCCATTACTTAGTGACAGAATCCCACTCCTGTGAATACAGAATATTGAAAGATGTAAAAAATATGTGGACATGAATATGCATTACATCATTATTAGTAATAACGGTGTTCAGCCACTTTGAAATGACTGAACAAAATGCTGTCAGTAAACATCATACCACATCAGATAAATTACATGAAAAGGAATCTGGGTTGAAGACTATTAAGTTCTGTAGAAAAGGGGCACACAGGTGTACACAAAGATGCTTGTGGAGAATAAGACTAAAAAAAGGAAAATCAAATTGTCAGAAGGTCTATCTGGCTCATAGAAAGAAGTCATTCTTATTCTTAATTTTAGTTCATTTATTCTTAGTTTTGCTTCATTTGCCATTTTTTTTTAAATTTCTGACAGAAACAGAAAAAGTTTTTAACAATCCACCAAAACGTATGACTCCTCTTAGACTCCAAGTGGAAACTGTGCTATGAAAACATCATTAAGTCATTTGTATAAAAATTAGTTACCTAGATATTGGCATCATTTAGGTAGGCAGCTGCCAGGGCTCAAGTTTAGAAAGCAGATAAGCAAACACCCAATTGAGAAGGAAAACAAACACTCAATTAGAAGATGAAAAAGTGGGTTTTGTCTACAAGGGGCCTGGTCTTCTTGTGCCTACTTCGGGCTTGGCTCATTTAAACTTCCCTGCTTGCCCTGGCTCATAGCCACCCTGTAGGACTGGGTAGAACTGCCCTTACGAGTTTCCGAGACTGTAACTTTTTACCAAGAGGAGCCTCATCTGGAGCAGCTGGTGATTTGTAACAGTTGACCTTTCCTGATAGCACTTGACCTTTCCTGATAGCAGTAAGAGTTTACACTGAAAAGAAGAGCCCTGGTGGCGCGTTGGACTGCAACCTACAAGGCCAGCAGTTCAAAATCATCAGCACCCTCTCAGGAAAAACACTGGGCTTTCTACTACTGTGAAGAGCTTGTCTCGAAGAAGAAGAAGAATTAGCCTCTGAAACCCACAGGGGCAGTTCTACCCTGTCTTATTGGGTCACTCACTATGAGTCAGAATCGACTCGATGTGAATTAAATTTTTAAGTGTGATGAACTTACACTGATAAGGGTACATCAGGCAATGAGATGCCTCAGACTTTACAATGCCAATACAGGAAGCCCATCATTACCCACAATTGACTTCACAAAGGCATGCCCCTCTTTACAAAGTATAATCGATTGCAATGACAAAGTCAATGGGCAGAAGGGCTTACAACATGGGAGGTTCACACTTGAATGAGAATCACCAGCACCAAGCCCAATTGAGGCTTCTGGAATGGAATGATTACTGAGTTTGCATTTGAACAAGTTCCTGCGGGATAGGGGAAGCTGCTGGTTTAAGTGAGCAGCTGCCTTCCAGCATGGTCGTGCATCCTCTCCAACAGAAAGAACTAGAAGAATTTCCCTTGAAACCCCCAGCCTATTTGAGCAAAGGTATGTTCAAAAAAGCCTTCCCTACCCATTTGGGTGGCACAATCAGGCTAAGGAGCTAAACTACTTCCCAAAAAATGGGTGGTTTGAACTCACCCAGCGGCATCTTGGGAGAGAAGCCTGGCAATCTGCTTCCCAAAGTCCTTGAGACCCCTACGGAGCGGTTCCACTCATGGGGTCACCATGAGTCCAAACAGACTTCACAACAAGGAACAGCAATTCAAGTAATGGTTCAGTGGTAGAATTCTCCCTTCCACATGGAGGGTCCAGAAGATTCCATTCACCACTCCTCAGTCACTGAGGCGTCTAGACTAGGAAGAAAGGCCTCACAATCTTCCAAAAATAAGCCAACGGACCGGGTAATGTTTCACTCTGTTAAGCACTGTGTCACCATAAGTCAGGGCCAACATGATAACTGCTAAAAACAATGACAAAAATCTTTTAAAAACCAACACAATACAGTAGGTAAAAACACAGGTTCTGGAGCCAAACTGCCTAATTCGGATCCTACTAGACCACTTAGTAGCTGTGTGGTCCTAAACCATTCAATTAAACTTCTCTGCTTCAGTCTTCATGTAAAAGAGAGAGCTTCACCCTCCCAAAGGAAACCAGAAAAGGGTGGGTGCCTGTCAGTATCTTCGCATTTTCTTCATTTCTTCAGCTCTACCCTGAATCCACGACGGTGCTTCAAGAATCAATTGTGTGATGTTCAGGCTGCCTGCCTGCCTGCAAGTTATTTATGATAACCTCACCCATATTCCTTCCTCCTCTGCCCCCACCCTCCAAACTCTCATTAAAGGACCACCAATCCGCCAAGAGGTATCCCCCCAATACTGAATAAACAACCATTAAAACCAGAGTATAAGCACTCATTCTTTTGGGCTTGCCTGGATTTTCCCATTTAACATTAAATAAATATGTGGACTGTATAGCCAAGATACAATGGAGGATCAAGAAACCATTATGAACGAAGTGTGATTACAACCCAAAGGTTCCGATCCACTAGTTGTTGTCACTGATAGAACCGTTCCTTAAGACACATAATCACCCTCTGAGCACTTGGCACTGCTTCTTCGAGGCTAGGTCTCTTCCCAGCTCAGTGCCGTTCAGAGTTAGGACTGACTCCCAGTCGGAACCACCTGCATCAAGGTTTCTCTGAGAGCTCAGAACTCACCGACACCAGGGTGGCACGGCCCTGGTGGCTTCATGGGTAGCACATTGAGTGGCTAACTGCATGGTAGGCATTTGGAAACCACCAGCCACTCAAAGATAGATGCTAGATTCTACTACCATAAAGTTACATTCTCTAGTTCTACTTTGTCCTTTAGGATCTCTGGGAGTAAACGTTCTGGAATAAGAGCTCCTCCACTAGAGGTGGAGATGAAAGTGAAAATACTAGCAATACGGAAAAGAGCTGGTCTAAGACACACTCCAGGCTTCCCAGTGGGCGTCCCAGTCAAAACAACGAGTCTTTTTTAAGACTGTCCACTCATTAAATTGCTTTTAAAATGTTACTTTCGTCACAACCACGTACCGCAACCCACGTGCTGTGAACGACACCTGCCCCGGGGAGAGAGCAGGCTGGAGCTCCGAGGAGTTGGGAAATAGCTGTCACATAAACAGCACCAAAAGGGGGTGGGATAGTGATGTCACTGGCCCTGTGCATTAACTGGGCTTTGGCCCAGATAAAAGAAACTGTTCAAAAACTGCCTGTTTACGACGGCGGGGAGGGCTCTTTTCGGTCCGGAGAACTGAGAATCCCGGGCATTTGGGGGTACCCACCCATTCTCCCATACGGAATGAAGCCACCTTTCTCTGCAGTCTTGGTTCCCCTCCTTTCCCACCTTCTGCTCCCTTCCCCGAGCACTAGTGGGGCTGCAAGGTCTCTCGGCAGGGCTGGATGGCCCTAAGTGCCCTGGGCCCCCAGGCCCCGCGGCCCCCGCCCCGCGCGCGGGGACGCAAGCCGGCACCACGCGGGCGCCCGTGAAGGCCCACGCGGCGGCCCCACCGGGCAGGAAGCACCACGGACACCCGCTAGAACCACTTCCCGACCACCCAGCCCGAAGGAACGACCGGTGGCATCAGGCAGGAGCCCGGGGAGGGAGGCGCGGCGGGCGGCGGTAACGGCGGCCAAGGGAGGTGAGGAGCGGGCGGGTGGCACCCCGGGGACCGGTGGCAAGAGGGTGTCCCAGTGTCGGCGGAGGCGCGGCGCCCGGGCTGCTCACCAGAAGAAGACGCGCGAGCAGAGGTTAGCATCCTGCAGCGGATTGGGCTTCACCTCCGAGTACACCGTCTGCATCTTGCGGGCCGGGGACACGCCGGCGAGGCTCGCCAGGCGGTGGCGCGATCCTCCTCCCTTGGACGCGAGCGGGGAGGTGGGCACGCCAGTCGCCGCGCGGGTCCGCTAGCCAGGAGTCGGAGCAACACTGGCTTCCGGAAGCCGGGCGCCGGCGGCACGCCCCTGTCCCCGCCCCGGCGCCCCT